ATACAATTTCTAACGAATCACTAACAACGTAACAACGCGTACAACAACAAATAGGTTGGGGCCAACTAACACATCAGTGTTTCTTTTTGTGCCGGAACTTCTTCGCCCTTAACTGATGCGTGGTGATGAGTTTACGTGCTTTTTTCTTCCGCGCTTCCACTTCGGCTAGTTTTTCTTCCAATGCATCCAACGAATTCATTGACGTTGAGGTGATCTAAAATTTTATTTTGAGCAAAAAGAAACAGTAACCTACCGGTAACTCTTCAAAAAGTTACCCCTTCTCTCCAATCAACCCCCCCCCCAAAAAAAGGTCGCAAAAATCAACATCTAAAGGTTCTTACCTTTTCATACTGCGCAACCACATCCGGATTGATGTATCGAGTTTTCTGAATGAAAAAATAAATGCAGGTTTCACAGAACTTGGCAAACAAGGGATAGCCAGATCAGAGAGATGTGCGGCACTATCACCCTTTACTCTCTCATTCTTCGAAAATCAGAGGCCAGGTTTTACCGAATTTTTCCTTCAGCGACAGTAGGTTGGATCCGTCCCCTCAGGTTCTTTCACCCTCTCAACAAGATCATGCCCCTTGACTAGCGAAACGCCTTGCCCAGTGTCTTGGGGCCAAACTACCTAAAAGCGCGGAAAACTCACTTAAAGAGACTATAATTAAGACCTCTAAAGACAAATGGGCTTTCGTGTAATAAACAATTACAATTACAAACAAATATCAACAACGGATATCCGCGCGAAAGAGTATGGTCTGTTTGGTACGGGGGCCAACACCAGTGGCTGTTCGACTCAGCGCCTACACTCTTGGCGCCAGGAGTCTTTCCTTTAAGGAGAAATATCCGTGGGCGGGGGCGAAGATGAACGCTCCGGGAGAACATTTTGTGTAAACCTATTGCTAGGGAAAAAAATTCCATCTTCCTAAATACCAATAATGGGGCAGCAAAGAGTAAATAGTGCTGATTGTATGGGTAGCAACCACGAAGCTATGCATATAGAGAAGTTATTATCCTTGCAACGCCATCGTGTGAGAGATCTCTAGTTCTGAGCTTTGAGTTATACGATTGACTCCAAGCAAAACTCAACACATTATCGATTGAACTTACCGGTATGTTGATTCGGCCTATGCTTGGCAGTGGCTCAGCAAGCTCAGCCCTTAACTCGGCCTGTAATTCTATCTCCTTCTCCTTGATCGTATTCATTTCATTGTTCGAGTTCTCCTGCTCAGCTTGCCTGAATCAGCCGTTCATGAATAAGAAGTCAGGACTTACTTTCACCATTTGAAAGTTGTAAGCTGATCATGAGGCCACTGAACGCTCGTTCATAATGAAAACTGATAGTGCTCCCGCTACTTGATCAACCTCTTTTGAAATGTCGCACTCATTATACCTCTATTTAGAATAGTAGTGCCATTACTGAGTGCGATATGGCATACTTGTGGGGGCCAGCCGATGTACGTCAGTGTTCTTATCCTCCCAGACAAATCTGGCACTAGTTTGCCGTTCACAGAGAGTAAAAGGCTTAGGTAGCTCCGCGCAAGAACCGATCCAGGATCCAACTCCTGCGCGATGGTAGGCCGGCCACTTTGCCTCTATAC